GAGAGAGAGAGAGAGAGAGAGAGAGAGATGGTAGAGGTGGTGGTATTAGTGTTCTGTAATAAAACTAACATTTTGTCGATTTACACAATAGAAAATGTGAATTAATTAGAGCAGAAAGTTAATCGTGGGAGTTAACGAAACTCACTGCTTTTTTCTAACTATTGCTTCTTTCGTTTCTTTCAGCGTCTTTCAAGATTGAGTCCGTTGATGATGGTATGTGATATATTTAATTGTAATAATTTAAGTATATGTAATTACTATACGTATAACATGTAATAATAATTTATTGTATTATTGTTAATGGTAATAATAATAATAATAATAAATTTCTTAAATTTTTTAGTTTTACATTAAACGATGGTGATGATATAACCCCCAACATGAATTTAACTTGTTTAGTTCTAGTTTTGGTTGGGCTGAATAAAGACTTATTTTAAATTTCAACCCGTCCATTTAACTCGCGTATAAATTTACAAGTTTTCGCTTTAAAAGTAAAATTATATTCTATCTATGATAATACGGTGATATATATCAATAAAGTTTCCATTTATATATTATTTCTCTTATTGTTGTTCGAAGGTGATTAGAGATCTTATCTTTTTAATTTATACGAAACCATTCATATTTAGTACGAGTGGAGTGATATTTCCGGATATTAATCGAGATAATCAATCGATTATTATTCGAAAGTACGTCGAACGAAAGTTCGAAAGAACGATCGAAAGGATTAAAGTTAAATAGAAAGTCCATTGGTTATTTTGATAACCAAGCTTTGATGAAAGTTGTTACTTCCAATTTCCTAGAACAATTAGAAAACGATTAGAAAATTGTTGCTTAAATATTTTTCAATACATCTTTTAAAGATATCGATATAAACTTTGATTATAGTCTCTCGAGATAAAATATTTTCTTGATTTAGAATGATAGAATATAATATTACGTTTCTCTTCAGATCACAGTTATAAGTTGTAAAGTTTTTATTGCCTAGCCAATTTTCCAAATGGAAATGTATATACACGTGTTATCGTGACTCCATTTCTATTCAAAACCCACGTGCCTTTTCACCACTTCCTTGTACCACTTTTAACCTTCGTCATCATTACATCATCATCTTGGCAAGGAATTCATCTTATCATTCATCGAACACGTGTCATTGGACGGAGGGAAGTAAAATCGAGTGTTCCTGCTGATTACAGTAAACCTGGCAGACAGCGGAGGCCAGAGGGTTGACATGACGCACTTCGATCTTCTGAAAGTCCTTGGAACCGGAGGTACGTGAACGAAATACTTTATAGTTATCGATTAAATGCATAATGGAACGATTGATTTATTCTCCTTCTCATTTACAGCTCCTGTACAATCGAACATTTGAAAATTATTAATTTATTTATTTATTTATTTTAAATTCGCAATCTCTAATAATAAAATTTAAATATTATACTATTTTTTTTTTTTTGCTTTCATTACAATATATTCATTTTATATAAAAAAAAAAAAGAGTCTTAATTTATAATCGAAATTTTAGTTAGAAATCTCTCTTTCGTATACAACATTTGTATACGATATTTTCATTTGTTTTTATTTTTCTTATCTTCTATCTCTTTTATCCCCCCCACAGTTTATTCACATCCGTATATTCGAACCAAAAATCTACAAGGATTTCTATCTGAGATCCTACACCTACACGAAGGCATTGAATTTTCCCAACGGTAGAAGCCATTTTCCTGAAATCTACTTAAAAAAAAAAAAAAGAGTTTTGGAGGAATTTCCCATAACACGCATGGGGATGTGCATATATAATAAAATATATTTATTCGAATTGAATATATTTTTAAAGAAGTATGGACGAATAGCGACCGTGAACGATGATCGGCCGTCAATTCGATTAAATATAGACAATAATGGGAAAACAAAGAAAAAAAAAAAAGAAAAAAAAATCTTTTGTGTAGCTTACGGAAAGGTGTTCCTGGTGCGCAAAAGAACTGGAACCGATGCAGGCAGACTCTACGCCATGAAAGTCTTGAAGAAAGCGTCCATCGTCCAGAGAAAGAAGACGACCGAGCACACCAAGACGGAGAGACAAGTTCTGGAGGCCGTTCGGGACAGTCCTTTTTTAGTTACATTGCATTATGCCTTTCAAACGGACGCAAAGTTACATCTGATTTTAGGTGAAATTTAAGATAACATTATTTCATTTGAAAATATGTTAAGGAAATATGTTATTTTATGCAGAGTATATGTATATGCTTTTTTTTTTTCATCTCTCTTAACTCTTTTATTCTTTCTTAAGAAATAACTTTTATTATTTTTAGAGAAGAAGTTCTTTTTTTTCATAAATTATGTATTATCGTTCACTTGTTTAATTAAAGTGTCGAGTATATGCAATATTGTACAGTAGAATCTTCAAGGTTTAATAAGCAGTAATAAGTATTTGAAATTTCATCACTAATTGATTTATAGTTAAAGTAATCTTTTAGTTTATATCATGTTAAGATATATTTTTGATGCAAAAAAATAATAAGAAATTAGCGATGTTAAAATATCGGAAAATATTTACCGTGAAAAGAATAGATGTGTATGGTTTATCGAAAAAATTAACGAATCCTTTTATGACTAATGGTAGAGTTTTAAAAAATTCCACAAGATGTAGTATATATTTTACATAAAGTTTTTGCTTATGTAGATATAATGTATAAATAGGTATAAATTTTTTTTATCTTCAATATTATATATTATCTGTGTTACTATCTGATACAAAAAAAATATCCAAGAAAGAGAAGGAATGTATATTTAAGGTAGTCAAAATACGATGCAATCGTGACATCATCATTGAGTCTTCTGTAACGTTGTGTAACCTTCCTCCCTCGAAAGGTATAATCATTTCGTGATTTCGTTTCTTCCTCAATTATTTCTCTTTAAAAGAATATTGCAATATATGAATTATTTTATTTTCGCAATGTATAAGGCGAGTAAGTTTCTATTTTAGAATTTATCTAATTGTAATTTTGTTATTATCTATCTAAGTCCAAAAGTCTTTTTTATCTATGAAAATTCATATTGCTGTTTACATTGCTAATTGGTAAATGTAAATTTTTGTATGTTATATTAAAAATATATTATAAATATTTAAATTAATTTTTATGTATTAAAATGCTAAAATATTTATACATATATATTAGTATCAATTACCATATCAATGTTAATTTAATCAAGTTGCTTTTTAAATAATTTTTTTTATTAAATAAAAGAAAAAAGAAAATCCACAAGAGTGTCACGAAAGAATTGGTGAAATATTCAAAAAATACTTCAAATATATTCCATTCGCCAAAGAACATGATTGAATTCCAAATCCTGCACGCAGCCGCTTTATCAATGAATATTTCATAGCCCAATATCTCGTTGACGAGTACCAGTGATAAATAAAAAAAAATATCGTTACACCAATTCTGAAAAAAAAAACAATAATTTTTTTTCGTCTTTTTCAATCTTCTTTAAATCTTCTTCTATTATCTTCAATCGGATATTTTTTTTTTTTTTTTCTTATTTGAAGACCCAATGATGATGATTCGCGAGAATAATGCATTACGCAGAGTTTTCTCGAATCGCGTTTCGAAGGATATTGTCCAGACCGAGGTTAAACGAGAACTTTGCTTTCTTGCAGATTATGTCAGCGGCGGCGAGTTGTTTACGCATCTGTATCAACGGGAACATTTTAGCGAGGACGAAGTACGAATCTATATCGGCGAAGTTATTTTGGCGCTGGAACATCTACATAAAGTAAATTCATTCTTTCATTCATCATCACTTACTTGAAACGCATTCTTGAACTTAAATTGTTTAATATAATGAGTATATTTAATGATTTTTATTTAAATTTGACTTTATATTTTTTTAAATTAAATTTGATTTTATATAAAATTTGAAATTTGAAATGGATATACATATATGTGCATATATTATTGATGTAAGAATTGGGCTTGTGATTTAAAGAAGTTAATATGATGTATATAGATATATATATATTTTTAAATTATTTTTTTTATATCATATATTAGATTAGATTTGATTTAAAAATTTTTAAGAATTCTCTTTAATATTTTATCATATATAAAGTAAATATCTGATTTATAGACTTTAATATGGTATATTTTAATTTCTAATGAAAGAACTCTAATACATAGATAATAATATGCGATTATAGATGAATCTTATGATTTAAGAACTCTATATGGTGTATAGATTGAATCTACTGGCATATGGCATATAACTTAAAGAGTCTATAATTGAAGAATAATTGAAGAATTTAGGGGAGAAGAAATTGATCTTAATATGCTATACAAATTAGATCTATAATTAGGAAGTCTGATATGCTGCTATAGATTGAACTTATAATTTTTTGAACTTCAATATGATGCACATATAGATTAGACATTTTAATAACTTTAATGTCACATAAAAATTTAAAATAAAAAAAATTATAAAATAATAAAAAAAAAAATAGCAAGATTATAAATTTTTAAATGTTTTCTTACGCATACTGTTTACGCCAGATATTTTTTTATAAATTACGTACAAAAAAAAAAAATTACATAGTCTCAAGCTTATAATTTTGTATGCACTTTGTTTCAAGTATTACTCGTTGTGCGATAAATTATTAAAATATTCCATTTTTATCGCATATACTGATCGGTGAAACCTACAATGTTGCTTTCTCTGTTGCAGCTGGGTATAATTTACAGAGACATTAAACTGGAGAACATTCTGTTAGACAAAGAGGGTCATATTGTGTTAACAGATTTTGGATTAAGCAAAGAGTTCCTGCCGCACGAAAGGGACAGCAACGCCCGTGCTTACTCCTTTTGCGGAACTATCGAGTACATGGCACCGGAAGTGGTACGAGGGGGCTCGGCGGGCCACGATATTGTGAGTCAGGATGAATTTACGTCACGATTTGTTCCCTTCATTCCTGGAACTTCGTTATCACGCCCGTGTTACCCGCTTGTCAGATACATTTTTATCGATTCATTTTTCCTTGAAGAAAATTTTTCTTTTTTCCTTACTTGAAAAAAAATTTTTCTTTCTTTTATAATTTTTCTCGTAGCCGTAATTTCTCTTCTTGTTTCGTATAGAACATTTCTTAATTTAAAATTTAAACTTCTTATAATATTTTGTAAAAATTTTTTTATACGATATTTTATATATATATATTTTGATATATATATTTTTGATTATACTAAGAAGATTAAAAAATAGTGTACATAACATACGTATTTTTATTCAAATGAATCGTCTATCATGAAATTCCTAAATTCTTAATCATAAATCTTCATCTTTATATCTTCACAAAAAAAATATCCAAAGTTTAAATCATCTTTAATTTATCAACCGTTCATTTAATGATTTCAAAATTCCAGGAATAACCTGGCCACGAAATATTCTATTCTAATAATCTAACAATTCGATTTCCAGGCAGTGGACTGGTGGAGTGTAGGCGTACTCACTTATGAGCTGCTGACTGGCGCCTCGCCTTTTACGGTCGAAGGCGAGAAGAATACGCAACAGGACATCTCGCGTCGAATATTGAAAACAGATCCTCCTATTCCCAGCCATCTCAGCCCAATTGTTCGAGATTTTATTCTTCGTCTTCTCGTGAAAGATCCACGACAGCGACTCGGTGGAGGGCCAGGAGACGCCAAAGAATTGAAGGAGCATCCTTTCTTCAAAAAAGCGCCATCATCGTTCAGCTGGGAGGCTCTCGAAAAACGTGAAATTCCTCCTCCGTTTGTTCCTCAAATCGCCCATGAACTAGACACCAGTAATTTCTCGGATGAATTTACAAAAATGATCGCAGCTGATAGCCCAGCCGTAGTTCCGCCCAATTATGACAAAATTTTTAGAGGTTATTCCTATGTGGCACCGTCTATATTGTTTGGAGAAAATGCAGTTAGTAAAGATATTTTCAAGGAAGCCACGAAAATCAATACAGAGTCTCAAAGACCGTCAACATCGGATGTATTGGCAGCCAGGTTCGAGGAGTCCACATTTTTTCAGAGTTACGAGATAGATCTTCGAGAAGAAGCCTTAGGAGATGGTAGTTTTTCAGTTTGTCGCAAATGTAGACATAGGAAAACGATGGAAATATTCGCTGTGAAGATTGTTAGTCGCAGGATCGACTGTGGAAGAGAAGCAAGTTTGTTAAGAAGTTGTCAAGGTCACCCAAATATAGTCAAATTAATCGAAGTTCATCAGGACAGAGCGCACACGTACTTGATAATGGAACTGTTATATGGAGGAGAATTATTGAGAAGGCCAAGACCCTTCAGTGATCAGCAAGCTAGTAGAATAATGCGACAATTAGCTTCCGCGGTTCAATTCATGCACTCCAGAGGTGTAGTTCATCGTGATTTGAAACCAGAGAACATAGTATTTGCCCATGAGGCAGAGGATTCACCAGTAAAGATTGTAGATTTTGGTTTTGCCAGGATAAAACGTGGCTGCGAGCCTCTACATACACCCTGTTTTACTCTCCCATATGCAGCTCCAGAAGTAATTGCTAGACAAGGCTATGATCAAAGCTGTGATCTCTGGAGTTTAGGCGCTATTTTATATTCAATCTTGTCTGGAAAACCGCCATTTAGATCAGGCTCTCTAGATTTAGCAACTAGAATCAGAGCAGGTGAAATTGATTTCGATAGTGAATCTTGGAATCACGTGTCTAACCTTGCTAAACAAGTTGCCAAAGGCTTGTTAACCGTGGACCCGAGCGAAAGACTGACAGCCAGCGAACTGGCAAATCATCCTTGGTTACAGGAATCAAATTCATTCGACGTGGCTAATTCGTATGACGTAACTGTATTGGATAATTCGAATGCTTTGCTGGAGAAACCAGAAGGCTTCCGATTGCGTGAAGTAGATGGTGCAAGGCTTGCACAGCGCAGGAAGCTACACAAGCGTTCCACTTCTAGTTCTGTATCGTCATCTGCTTCTACGACATCATCGAGTCCCTCTGTACAGCTCCTTCGACCACCTAGTAACGTTACTAACGTTGCAACATCCGTTTCACCAGCCCAACCAAACGCGTTTGATTTCGGTGAAGACAAAGTAAATGAATACCTTAGTTCCTTATCCTCCTCTTCCGATTCAAATTCACCGAGGATTATACATCAAGAACCATCTAAAAAACGACATAAGCGAGATGAAGATGAGGAAACAAAATCAAAAAAATATAAAAAACAAAACGTCCAATATACAGAAATTTATAAAAATAGGACTGGTCCAGTGACCAGGTCTAGAAAAAGAAAATTAGAAGAACAGACTATAAATGAAGATGAATTATCAGTGTTAGAGCCCTGTGAAACAAGTCATGTAGATTTCAGAGAGATCCATCGAAAACAGAAGGCAGGAAAGCGGCCCAAGAGGTTAACTACTATTACCGTGGAATAGATAAAATTTGCATCATCTTCTTTTCATACTTCTCCTATATATATATATATATGTATGCATTTCACGTAATGTTGCAACGTTGGCTGCCTTCGACGCTCGAATTGATTCGGGTAACATACATTGCGTCATTCCTATTTCCAGGACTTTGCTTGGGAACCGTTGGAATTTTGTATGAGTTCATATAAGCGATTCTATTTTTATTATTAATATTTATTTAAATATTTTAATAATACTTTATCATTGATATTAACGAAAAAGTGTTTAAATTTTATTATTAATTAATTTATCTAGCATTTTAGATAATGTCAATTAGGTATTAAGGTTATGTGAATAGTATAAAACTAGATAGCAAAACTAAATATTTCTTTATAGCCATGTAACTTTATTTTATAATATAAAATTTTAAATATAAAGATAGATTAGTATAAGAAATTATAGTAAATAATTTAAAAGTAGTATAATAATTTAAAATTAGTTTAATATTTTACAATTAGTATAACAATTTAAAATTAATGTTTAGATATTAAATTATTTAGATTAGAAATATTTAGATATTTTAATGAACCCGTACAAGATTCAATATGGCGTGTTCCTAACTTTAATTAATTTTTCTTTTTTCGCATTATCTGTGATCACTTGTGTAAAAATGAAAAACTAACGAAACATAAAAGTCGTCGAAATTCTTTCGACTTTTTTATTAACCCTCGCTCTAACATTGATCTTTCTTGGATGAAGAAAAGAAAGAAAAAGAAATAAAACAATAAATGAGGGAAAATGTAAAGCAAATAAACGAACGATTTTGTGAAAAAACATAAAAATATATAATAAAAATTCGATTCGTGAAAATTACTCATAGAAAATGTGCCTCAGAAAGACGATTTATAAGATGATGAATGTGGTGTACATGCGTTTTGAAGCGATAAAGAAATAGATTTTGGAAAAATGAAACTTTATCTATTTGAAGTATAAAGTAAGAAAGATAAATAAAAAAAAAAAGATGGGAGAAATGCGTGTACCTTTTAGTTATTATATTAAGAGAAGAATAAATGTATTGTGGTGTACACGATTATTATTATTAATTATACATATTATATATATATAAATAAAAATATACACAGACTCTAATCGAAATAGTTTTGTTCATGTGAGCATATATTATATCGAATACATGCTATTCTTATACATTGATTTTTAGTCCTGAATCTTTATAAAAAATATTATATATATATATTATGTATATATATAAAACAAAAAAAATTATATATATACACACAATGAACATGCAAAACCATAAACACATGTACATTCTATATATATATATAGGATGTTAAAAAATAGGATCGACCCAGATTATCGAGTATTGTAATCATAATGTATCCGTGTTTCCTCGCGATATCTTTATTTTGTACAATAATTTTACATATTAATTTCTTTTTTCTCTTTTCTTTTTGCTAATAAAATTATTGTAAGCATTGTATGTATTACGATTTATAAACGACTGGAGCATCGAAATGTATGTAGAAAGATAAACCAATTAAAAATTGCACTTTGTTAAAGAGAGAGAGGTGGAGAGAG